GCTAGGCCCTGAGGTGTTGTCTATTTGAGACTATATTTGGTCATTTTTTTTTTTCAGAGACAATGAGAGGGAAAGTGAGAAATCACCCCCCCCCCCAGGGGGGATGGCCAGCTGTAATCCCTTCTCCTTCATTCTCCTCCCGGGATCCTGGGTTCGCACACACATGCACTAAGCATGATTTTCAATCCGCTGGGTGGGACATGAACTGCAGTGGGCCATCTGCAGACCCCTTGAGACTAATTTGGCCTGGCTGCCAGAGAAAGGCAGATAGCAGGGCTTTCCAGGGCTTGTCTCTGTGTGACTGGCTCACCTCTTCATGGGCGTACTGACTCCTTTGTGCTTTGGTGACCAGTTTAGAATCTCTTTTCTGGATCACTGGATTGCTGTCTACACTGCCCTTTTCCCTGAGCTCAGGGTCCTCAGCCACAATGGGACATCCTCGATCACTCCCAATCCCTTTTGTATCTAGCTAGGATTCTCTTGTTTCACTTTTCAACTTGTATGTATGTACACATATTAAATGATACAGATATTAAATGATTAAATGGTATAGACATATACAGATATATAATAAAGATATACATTTATATCTTACATAGATTTATGTAATATTTTAATGGCTGGGTCTGCTGGTAGGGGCATAGATTATTGTCAGAACTGGTCACAGTTGCTACTTTTGGAAAGAAACTTCAGTGTTTGAAAGACTGAAAGTAGAAAGGAGACTTTCTGACCTTTTCAGTTTTGAACCAGGTGAATATATCATCTACTTAAAATGAATTTTAAATTGTCTTTTCTACCATCTATATTCTACTTCATACCACAGATATTTATGTTTACTTTTGTCTAGGTATTATGCAAAACAGTAGTAAGAGGTACTAAATCATTATGTATATTATGTATCATCAGAAAAGTCATTATGCATTTCTGCATAGAAAAACAGAAAAACACCTTATGATTTTCCCAACCACCTAATATTATGTTCTAGGCTTTTGTGTGTGATTAAATATATCTCTTTATAAGCTGCACTATTTACTTAATACATTGTGATACCAAACAAAACATATTTTTCCCAAAGAAGTTTGCAAGTATGTATTTTGGGCTGGCCAGTTGTGTGGTGGTTAGGGGGCTGGATCCTGCATGGCCGACTGCACGGGTCAGGTTCTGGACTGAGCAGCTTAAGAAACACCCCAGGTGTGTGTACCTGCATACCAAAAGTTCTGAGGGGAGAGATGAAGGAAAAGAGATTGTGGGCGTGGCCATCCCTACAAGGGAAGTGCTTTCTTTCTTTTTTTTTTTTTTTTTTTGAGAGGTTTTTGCTATAGGGTGTGTGTGCTCGCCAGACAGACAGAGATAGAGAGACAGAACGCGAGAAATCACCCCCCAGGGGGGATGGCCACGCTGCAATCCCTTCTCCTCCAGGGATCTTGGGCACGCATGCACACGCACCCGGCATGAGTTTAAGCCACCAGGTCTGGGACTCGAACCGCGGTTGACTACGTGGGAGTCCAGTGACATAGCCATTACACTAACTGCTGGTCCCAAAGGGAAGTGCTTTCTTATTTTCCCCTCTCTCTGTCTCTCTCCAGTGCCAGCACCTGTCCTCTAGCAGATAAAAAAATAGTATGTTTGTCAGTAGATAACACAGGTACATCTTTATAAAAATCAAACAGTACAAAATGTAGACAGAAAAATGTAATTATCTTTCTCATCCATTTCTCCTGTTTCTCACTTGCCCTTCCTAGAAGTAACTACATTACGGTTTCTTACAAATCCTTCCAGAGATGATATATCTATATATGTGTGTATAATAGTAACTTATCACATATCCTGCCACCTTAATGTTGTACTTCACACTATCTTTTGGAGATCTGTCCATTTCAGAATTTAAAGAGATGATCCTGCCTCTTTTTTTACAATTTGATACTATTTCATTAAAAGTATGTTCCAATAAAGTACTTTTAAATATTTCTGTTGCTTTTTGAGATACACATGGATCTATTTGTGTGTGCATATATGCCCTAAATCCTGATGGACTATACAAATGGAGGGAAAAGGACTGCAGTGTCATTATGCTCCAAGGGGAAGTGCTCCCCGCCCCAAGCACACCTGCCCACTGACAATAAGAAATAAAAGAAGAAGAAAGGTTGGTTAAGGGCAACACACAGGGTGCATGTGCTCATTTGCCCAGGATCCTGACAGGAGAGAGAAATGGAGGAAAAAGGATTGTGGCATAACCAGGTACCTTTGAGGAGTTCTCTCTCTCTCTCTTACACACACACACAGAGATCCTGCTGGGTCCAGGGCTCAATTCATGCTCAACTACATAGGAGTCCAGTGATACGACCATTACACCATCTGCTGGTCCCACTACTCTTTTCTACTTTTCCCTGTTTCCATTTTTTTCCCCCTCATTCTTTATTACTGACTCCCTCCCCCCTTTAAAGGTTTATTTATCTCTTTCATGAGTGTTAGGGAGATGCACGCACACACACACACACACACATACATGCACTTACACAACATCCCCATCAGGGTCTCAATGCCACAATTTACCACAGCCTTCATCCAGCTTCAGATCATGGACAAACATGTTTAGCATACTAAGGGAGGTCTCTGGATGAGAACCCATAACCTTCCCATATGGGTCAGCCTCACAGAGCATTGTGTTTTACACACTGTGTCACCCTGGCCATTCATTACCTTTTTCTATGCTTCCATTAGTTGAACTTTTATACAGATTGACTGCAGTGAAAATTAGTTTTGTGTAATTCAATAAAGTAAAACCAAAGCTCAAATAAATAGTTGTCCTTTTTAAAATTAGCTTTCCATTACTCTTGGATCCATTTGTAAGTTGCAACATGTCACTTCTCTCTTCATTTACTATGTTGCTTTTCAAACTATTGTGAGTTTGGAAATTAAGACTTAAATGTACCTCTACTGTTCCAAAGTGTACATTTTTTTCTATCAAAGATACAGAATTTACTCCTTTTATGGAAAACCAGTTATTCTGCAAGTCTGCATGAAGCAATATCATGATGAAATAATACTGAGTTCAGGTTATTTAATGTTGACAGCTAGGTAATTTTAGAATGAAGACATTTTTAGAAACAGTGTAATTCAGTGGTGAAACTATCCACCACCATAAGTTGTATGTTTTCCCCATTGAGAGCTTATGAGAAAACAACAAAACAGGAAATGGAAAGAGATAGAGGTAGGTATTTTTGTGAGAGTCTCATTGTCACTATTCTCTTGCCCCAGCCTCCCAATTAGCTAGGATGACAGTCACGTTCAGACTGACCTAGGAACCAAACCTGAGTCTCCCATGTGACTTTCAGCCTCCTAAGAGATGGTGCAACCTGTGCAGCACCACAGCTGGGCCAGTCTGTTTTTGTTGAGGCAGAAGACGGCAGATTTATTGAAGGAAGTAGCTATATATTCCTTGGTATGTTGTCACCCCAAACAATTTTGCTTGGCAAAATGATTATCACCTGCAATCACTAACAGGAAGACAATGCCTAAAGTCACGTTCTTGAGTTCAAATTCAAGTCTGGTTGCAGGGTGTACGGTAACAACTTCAACAGGGCAACAACATGATGGTACTTTTCTCTGATAGACATCTACAAAGGAAAATCTGTATGACACTAAGCAAGTTTGTACAATTTAACTTCAGAAAACACAATATGGTGTAATTACTTTTTCCTAAAATCTAATAGCCCACAGGAAAACGTGTGATCCATAATTTTCCATTTACCCAAGCTATTTCCTTCTCCAAGGCAATTCTCATTCCTCTGCCCTTTCCACCCCACTGGTATTTTAGGCCCAAACTCTATCCTATTGAGAATAGAAAAGGGGAATTCAATGGACCCAGAGAGGGAAAGGGGCAAGGAGACAAAATGTGGAGACTCAAGACATTGTAGTAATCATTGACAACACTGGACAAAGGAAACTAATAAACCTAGATGAATGGTTATTTCGGGGAGAGACAGCCAGTGTTTTCACTGAATTACAGGTAAAGATGGTAAGCTCCTATCCAGGCCTGCCTCCTGGACACAGCACAGTATATATATATATATTTTTTTCTTTTTCCTTCAATGGCTGCACCTTACGCCACAGGTGCACCCAGGATACGAAGGCAGTCATTAATTGATAGCTTGTTTCCAACATTCCTGAGATGGGAATCATGAGACTTGGATTCCATGTGGGAGTCGACCATTTACACTGTGTGACAATGGCTGTTTAACTTCTGGGTCTCAGTTATGCTCTATTTTGGATCAACCAATCTCTCTTATGCTCCTTTGAACACTTCTAAAACCCTAAGATCCGTGAGGGCACGGGCGTCACAGTTTTTAAGGAGACTCTTTTCCCAGAGGGCCAGAAAGCGTCTCAGAGCCCAGGGATTCCTCTTTCCGCAGGCTCCAGCCTGCCCTTCTACCCTGCTACCGT